ATTAATCAACGACTGCATGGCAGATAAAGATAAACCAAATGCATCTGGCAGGATGTAAATTCACAAATTGCTTTTGCAAGTAAATTGATAATTTGAAGAACTCTTTATCTGCTGAAATAGTGAGTGTTTATTATGTGGCATCTGACCAGTCAAATATTTAGCCACCACATGTAAAAGTAAAAAAGAAAAAGTAGAGATTGTACCTGCCATGCAACAGGTGGGGCTATATCTTCTAAATGTTTCAAAATAGCAACTGGAGAGCCATTGAAATAACAGGGAAGGGGGACATAGTCCTGTACTTCCACTAGTGGCCATCAGGTGGCGGCTACTTTAAATAATCATGGAGGGAGGTCCTAGTGTCCCCATCCCTACCAATGAGCAACAGGTGGCAAACTATAAAATTATTGCAACATGTGGGGGCCTTGATATTATTACTAAAATTATTTAAAAAATAATAGGAGGCCTGTAAATAAATCAAAATGTATACTTACCACCAGTCTTCTTCCTTCTAATTCTGTTCTTCAGCCCCCCAAAAAAGGCCATATCAAAAGTCAGAATAACCAACACTACTAATTAAAATACATTTTAAAAAGGCTCGATCACTAAAAAAGCAGCAAAAAAACTAAACTGTGCCGCAATGAAAAATAATCTGATAAGCTCACTGCAGAATGAACTCTGATAGCAAGGAAAGCCGCTATATAGGTTTTCCCCACGCTTTGCAATATGACCTAGAGTGGTCTGATTGGTATGCTATTATGTCAACCAATCAAAGCGTTCTGATAGCCAAGTCTTGACTTCTCTACTACGCAGTTGTTAGTTTTAAGATTTAGCAGACATGGAGGTACAATACCTCCATAATAGCAATATGGGAATCTTATTGACCCACATAGGATTTTTATTTATTTACTTTTACTGTTTTAATGTGGAGGCTGGCAGAGCTGTCTTAACCGCATTATAGGCCCCAGGGCAAAGCAGTGCACTGGGTCCCTTCTTACATAACCACTCACAGGAATAAAAATTTAAATTATCCCCAAGAGTGGCGACTCACTACTTTACTCTTCAGACGACAGCCAATGTCTACTCATATACCCGACATCGATATCAGGACCCAATATGGATCACATCACTACTAGCCCTAGGCAACAGCCTACTGGTCCCACCGACCGTAACACGCACGACTGTTTCCCAAAACCGCCTAGGGCACGTGCATGTAAAATTTCTAAATAAAAAGTGCCTTTTTTGAATCTGCTTATGGCACATCAAAAATAAAGAATTTAACAAAAAATAAATGTAAATTATCAATAAAATTAAGCTTATATTTATAGGTGGCTCCTGCCTCTGACCTGCCTGCTGTCTGCTGATCTCATCAGAAGTGGTGGTCTGAGCCAATCACAATGCTTCCCCATAGGATTGGCTGAGACTGTCAAGGAGGCAGATCAGGGGCAGAGCCAGCTCAAGTCAAACACAACCCTGGCCAATCAGCATCTCTTCATAGAGATGGATTGAATAAGTGTATCTCTATGAGGAAAGTTTAGTGTCTCCATGCAGAGGGAGTAGACACTAAATGGCCGTGCTGCTCACTGTGCAGCATTTCCCCAGGAAGCAACTCTAGCAGGCCATCTGCGGAGTAATCCTATTTATAGGTGGCTCCTGCCTCTGACCTGCCTGCTGATCTCATTAGAAGTGGTAGTCTAAGCCAATCACAATGCTTCCCCATAGGATTGGCTGAGACTGTCAAGGAGGCAGAGGAGGGGCAGAGCCAGCTCATCAGAGCCATGACCAATCGACATCTTCTCATAGAGATGAATTGAATCAGTGTATCTCTATGAGGAAAGTTTTGTGTCTCCATGCAGATGGAGAAGACACTGAATGGCTGTGCTGCTCAATGTGCAGCGCTGCCCCAGGAAGCACCTCTAACAGACCATCTGCGGAGCAGCCAGTGGAGGTTTCACTAGGCTGTAATGTAAACACTACATTTTCTCTGAAAATGTTTATAGCAAAATGCCTAAAGGGAATGATTATACTCACCAGAACAAATGCAATAAGCTGTAGTTATTCTAGTGACTATAATATCCCTTTAAACTGACCTATTCTCAATTGCTGTGCATGTCTCATCGTGGCTGGTATGGCTGAGATCAGACTTGATGATCTCAGCCGATCCAATGCTTTCCCATTTGAAAGCACTGGAAGGCTATTGTGCATGCGCAACAAAACTCCATACTGCGAAAATCAGCATCTCCTCATAGAGATGCATTAAGTTAATGCATCTCTATGGGGAGCGTTCAGTGCCTCCATGCAGAATGTGGAGACACTGAACCACTAGTTGCCATCTGAGTGACTGCCACTAGAGGTGTTACTAGGCAGTAATGTAAACGCTGCCTGTTCTCTGAAAAGGTAGCATTTACATTGAAATGCTTGCAGGAACTTGCTATAGACATCTGAACCACTACATTAAGCTATAGTGTCCCTATAATTGGTCCAGATTTCAATCGTCTGGCAATGTTTGATCTGGCTGAATTCCAGACCGAATTGCAAAATCCAGACCTTGTTGAATAGTATTAACAATGTACGTGTCTTGCAGTCAAAATGGCCCCTTACAGTAACAAATGGTACAGGACCATTCAGTCTTTAGTGAATAATATTGTACAGTTCACTTCATATTTAATGACTTCTCTAAAAACAACATTTGCAGTTTCATCTGGTTTGGACGTGCAATGTGCACATGCCATAGGCTTAACCAAAAGGTACT